TTGTTCGTGGGCTACTGAGGGGGCCGGTTTGGGATTTTTGTTTTGGGAGGGTTGACCTCGGCAAATATGGCTCCTGAGGCAGCTAATGGTCAGCGGTGAGGTCAGAGCGTGCCCCTACTCAAGATGGCGCTCGCACAGCCCTGGCGGGGGGACGGCCGGGCTCGGGCCCTGAGTAAAGATGGCCGCGCCAGCCACCAGCACCTGGCGGGAGGGCGCCCACCTTCCCTTACTTAAGATGTCGGTCATGAGGCGGTCTGCATCGGTTTTAGCACTCGGGCGGTGTGGGGAGGCGTTAAGCCGCCCTCTTGGCGGCGGCAGAGGGGAGCTGGGGCCGCTCTCGAAAAGTTGGCACTGCGGGGAGGCGAGTTACCCCTGGCAGGAAGCGCCCCGGCGCCTTGAACCGAGCGGCGACCGGGGGACGCCGAGAGTGGTGGGCAGGCCGGGCCGGGTGAGGGCCCATCCCGAGAGTACAGAGGTGAACCCTCCTTGCTCTTCCAAATACCGAGGCTGTAACTTTGGCCCGACAAGTGAAATCTTACATCGGGGTATTGGTACCTGTGGGTGTCCCTGGTGTTGTCTGGAGTTTGCTGGGGACTTTCAAAAGAATTTTAAAAAGCACAGCACGAGTGCTGCTGGCACCTGCCAATAAACCCTCCTGCTGAGCCACGGGTTAAACCCGGCCTGGGGCAGTGCCCTGGCAGCCAGGTGGGCTGGATGGGCCTTGTGTGCTGTCATCGTGTCCAGCACATGCACAGCAGTCACATTAAAGAAATAGTTGGAAATTGTTAGTCTATTTTAACATAAAATTGTGATTGTATTGTTGAAATTGCAGCTTATTTTTTTAAATTAATACTAGATGCCTGGTGCAGGCAAGCTTTTATCTTTATCAGCGTTTGCTCTTTGTAAGGTGTTTTGTGGTGATTACCAACCTCTTCTTTTTCTCACTTCCTTGAAGGTTATTTCATGTTTTTCTAGTGTTTGGTTTTGAAGGCGTGAGTTTTCAGTTATGAACTGCTGGACATCCTGGATTGTTGATAGGAGATGGAGACCATTCAGGCTAAACGCACCCGGGAAAGGCAGTACTACTGTCATAAGTCTACATCTGCTCTAGAAGCGTTTCCTGAAAAACAAGTAGGGATGTAGAAACTGAAAAAGGCTGAAATCAACTCCAAGATAATATTTAAGAGAATGTTGTCCATTACGCAGCCCTTCTGGAAGTCTTTTGGTTTTACTGACCATTATTTTGGTGAATGAACGGTGGCATATATATGAGTCTGTCAGCACTGACAAAAGGTTTGTCACAGTCCCAGATATTCAAAGAATCAGTAGAAATGTGGATTTAAAATGTGTGGATGGCTGACAAAGAGCTCAGCCAGTGATGTGAAATATTGCCATCTAACAGCTTTTTGGGAGATTTGTGTAAACTGAGTTGGCAGTCTGGAGTTCAGCAGACAAAGTATGCAAATGAAAATTGATGCTCCTTTCAGCAACTGGAAGAGAAAGGCCAGGGCCAGAGTGCACTCTGTAATGAACTCAGCCCTCCGAGATCAGGACTGAGGTGTGCTGATGAGAAGAGTGCTTGGCTCTTTTGTCTGTGGTGCATCTCTCGGATGGATAAATACATGACTTGCTGTTCATCACTGTCAAGAAAATTGTCACTTCTCATGAGCGCTACATTAATTAAAATTGAGAGTAAGGGCTGGGAAGTTAGGCATTTGGAATTGAATTTTTAAAAAGGAGGATGAAAATGGTATGTTCTTAGCGTGTTGCATGCCCTAGTGCAACTACTATTGCTTAGTAAAGCAAAATGGGCACTAGGAAGAGGGGAAATCAGTCCAAAGTTACAAGGTGAAATTAATTTTGAAGCCTGTTGTAGTCCTTATCCTATGCAGCTAGCAGGGCTGTGTAAGATCTGCTGCAAAGGAGCTAGTGAAACAGTGTAGCAGAAAAAAAATTATTTTTGAGAGTTTCAGTTGACATTTTACGTGTGTGTACATATATATATCTTTAAAAAATCTGAAAGCAGACTACCATACAGGTTTCAGAGGTAGAAAGCACCCGTAGTTCCTGCAATTAACTTCAACTAAAATGGTGCCTGTTCAGTAGGAAAACTTTGCGTTTATTCCCTCCTCTTGAGCTGCCTTGGCAGGGACTCTGGCCACAGCTGCCACGCACAAGCCATCCCAAGCAACGTGCTGTGTCTCTCGGAAGCTGCAGGTAATGGTGTGTTTGGGAGTGCTGTCCAGGGCAGTGCTGGCTGTGGTGAGCCCTGTGAGAGACAGAGGTGCATTGCCCATTTGGTGCTCGGTGGGGGAAGTGTCACAATACCTTCACTCTGTTCAAGTCCCCGTCCTCCTTCAGCTTTTGCTGTTCCGTTCTGTGGAAGCGGTAGGGGCTGTGCTACTAAGGTCTCTGTAGGAATCTGCATTCAAAACGGGCTCTGAATTCATGTTTGGACACCGATTTACTGCAAATGAGTACAAATAATATTTTTTATGAAGTCTACACCTACATTTTGCCCTCAGTGGGCAGTTTGGTGGTTGTGTTGATATCTATGTGTTTTACGCTGTTAGTTTAACTGTCAGGCAGCTGAACGCTACATGGCTGCTTGCTCATTCCCCCTGCGCCCCCTCTGTGAGATGGGGGAGAGAATCGGAAAAAAGTAAAACCTGTGGGTTGAGATAAAGACAGTTTAATAAAACAGCCGAGGAAAAGAATAACAATACTAATAGTAGTAGAATATACAAGTGATGTACAATGCAATTGCTCACCACCCTCTGACCAATGTCCATCCCATCCCAAACAGCAATTGCTCTCCTCCTGGTCAACTCCCCCCTCCCAGCATGACATCATATGATCTGGAATAGCCCTTCGGTCAGCTGGGGTCAGCTCTCCTGGCTGTGCCCCCTCCCAACTTCTTGTGCACCTGGCAGAGCATGGGAAGCTGAGAAAGTCCTCGACTGGTCTAGGCACTACTTAGCAACAACTAAAGCATCAGTGTGTTATCAACAGCCTTCTGGTGCTAAATCCAAAACACAGCACTATGCCAGCTACTAGGAAGGAAATTTACTCTATCCCAACCAAAACCAGCACAAGGCCTATGACTTGTAAATACACTGGCAGGTCAGGATCATCTGAACATTGCCCTGGCTTTTAAGCCCTGCGTTTCAGAGAGCAGCTGCCGCTAATCCCAGACTGAACGTCCCGTCCACAAACTTCAGCCCCGGGCCTTTGCCTGCAGGACCCCACTCCCGTACTCCCCGCCCCCGGTGCCCCCCATCGTCGGAAGTAGCATAGAAATGCTGGGCCCTGCCCCTCCCTGAGCCTCCAGATGTATTCGGGGCGCTTTTCTCCGTAACACCTGCAGGCTCACCCCCGCTCTTAAGTACCGCTCAGCTACAGGCGCGGGCCTCCCCGAGTCAGGAAGGGGGGTTTGCCGGCAGCGGTGCTTCTCCAGCCGGCCCGGCCCGGGGGCACC